TATGTTACTACATCCGTGCTAGAATCTGCGCTGTAGCCCTTTCATTCAAATAGAGCTTTTTAACAGCTTTTAAAATGAAATGGACAGTGCTTGTGGGAGAAATACAGATAAATCAATGAGCAGCAAACTGACAAAAGCGACAGCAAAGTGCAAAGAAGCTCTAGTTATAACAAAAATAGACAAGCTTAGTGAATGAGAATGAGATGCTACAATCACGGAGGAGCTGAACCATTGACTATTTAGTCTAGTCATGTCAAGTCATGTCAAGTCATGTCAAGTCAAGGTTTATTTATATAGTGCTTTTTGCAACAGGCATTGTCGCAAAGCAGCTTTACAGCCCCCATGAGCAAGCCAGCGGGGACAATGGCAAGAAAAAACTCCCTCAGAGTAAGAGAACCAAGACTCAAAAGGGGAACCCATCGTCCTCTGGTCGACACAGGATAGCTTATTTTCTGATATATATGACCTATACATCTATATCTATATAGATATATAGATATATAGATAGGCTGCAGCTTTCATAAGGACACATCCCGAACAGAGAGAAAGCAGTGTACTCTGTGCGTGAGAGGGAGGAAGTGGGAGAGAGGATCTAATTAGGCTGCAGAGAGAAAACAGACAGGGTGTCTGCTACAGCTCAGCAACAGTGATAGCAGAAACGCAAGAGTCTCAGAGAGACACAATTCTCTGGAGGGCTCGAACTCTGAGAAAGGACCCCCGGTCTATGCTTTCAGGTCCTGGAGCAATCTTACGTCGCCCGTGATGCTGTAAACAAACTACAAACACTGTAAGGCATACAGTACCAGTCCAAGGTTTGGTCACCCCAACTTATAGAAGGGTTTTTCTGACTTTTACTACTTTCCACAACTTAGAATACCAGCAAAGACATCAAAATCATTAAATAACACATATGGAACTATGCAGTGATCAAAAAGCCTTATATTCCTCACCCACTGCCAGCTTTTCAGAATCTTGGCATTCTTTCATGTAGCTTCATGAGAAGCCACCAGGGACGCTTTTCCAACCAGACTGAAGAAGATACACATATGCTGGGACCCTTGTCAATAATTCATATATTGCATTTATATTTCTCTTAGAAACAAATCTCAGGCTCTTAAGCTTAAGCCTTTAGATCAGGTGTGGGAAATTCTCGTCCTGGAGGGCCGGACTGCTGCACAGTTTGGTGATTTTCTTGCTCGATATAACGATTTAATTTTCTTTTTGGTCATTTTATGCTACTATAGGGCTTAATCTGACTAATTAGCTACCTTGTTTGCTAGTTAGCTTAACTTATCGGTTGACATAAACGGTATACTGCACTGTTCTACATGTCTACACTACATGTACCCAAACCTGCGTAGTCGATTTTTTAGCCCTGAAAATGTGAACTGAGGCATTAGCTCAACAGTACTAACATAACAGTGTGGTTTTCTGTGATCACACACTCACAAATGCCCATGTTTACATTAAATGCATGAGTAACACTGTAGAGCAACATGTATAGCATGACACCTACACAAACCTTTCATAACATTGCATAACACTGAAGCTACGTTCACATTACAAGCCTCATTGCTTAAATCAGATTTTTTGCTCAAATCCGATCTCTCTGGCATGATGGTTCACACTCGTTTAGGTAAGGATTCAAATCGGTCATTAATGTGAACGAACTGGCGTCCTGAAATGACCCTGCATGAGCACATCCTACTCAGTAACGTCACATGAATGAATTGCGTGCGTCACGTGCTTCATCAGCAAACAAACTAACGAGCAGAACGAGCTTCGCTGTAAAGATAATTAACTCTGATCAGCTCTCAACTTCATTACTGGAGTGAGACGAAGGTGAAAAAGGTGAAATGAGCTGCTTTTCCACCGTTTACAGACATGGTAACGCTGAATGATGGTGCACACGCAGTGAAAAAAAGCACATGAATTTGGATCTGAGCATTCACATTAAGGTCGCATGGCTACGAATCGGATACATATCCGATCTAGGACCACATATGAAAGTGACTCAGGTCGGATTTGAAAAGATCAGATTTGTGTGTCCACACAGCTCTGAAAACATCAGATCTGAGTCACATTAGGGCAAAAAAATCAGATTTGTGCCACTTCAACCTGGTAATGTGAACGCAGCCATAAAGGCTTACTCCAAGAAGCGTCAGATGTCATAACCCTTCACTTTAGGGTGAAATGACATCAAATTTGACTGAAGCAGCTTTTAAGACATCTGTTGGAACAGACCTTTAGAAACGTTTTCCTAGGTTTATGTCAGTTGTCATAATGTAGGTGTTGCCCTACAGTACAGTGTTACTGAACCACTTGACGAATAACGCAAAACTTTTATTTTCTCTGTCAGGTATGAAAACGAGCACAAACACCCATTCTGTGAAGGCCGGCATAAATGCTAATATGTTAGCATCGGCTTCCTAGCTAGCTTATCACCTCAGCAAACTGTTCACAAACTAATATATCTAAAAATAGTAATTGACTCATTACCAGAGCATCCTAGCTTTTATTCTTTTGACGGATTGGTGATGCAGTAGTGTTTGGTGATTATCTTCACCTGGAAGAATAGCTTTTAGCTAATGACAAAACTGAGAGAAAACACTTTTTCTTTGGAGACTAGTAAACGCTAAAAACATCAGAATTAGCTTCCTAACTATCTTATGTCATCTTAGCAAACTACAATTACAAAGTAATTCTTTACAAAGTAATAATTCTAAATATATCAATTAACACATCAGTATACCATCCTAGTTTACATTCTAGGGCACGAATTGATGATGCGATAGTGCTTTATGGCTTTATCTTCACCTGGAACAGTAAAGAATTTGATAAACTGTCATTATCTTCGGCCGCAAGTGTTACCATCAAACACCATTAGTCTTCAGTCTTGAACAACCACCAAACTGGAAGCTATTACTGGACCGATGACCAATGGAAAAAGCATGGTTCCAGTTTTCTGGTGCAAAAGGTTCCTGTACGTTGTACAGTGGAAAAAATGCCCTGAGATTATGAAACACATACATTCAAATCACTTTTGCTGCTGTCCATATTCAGCTCTGCCTGCTGGACGCAAATGTGCTGCTCTTTCGCTGAACTACGTTAGCTTGTTAAATACAGCTGACTAATTAGCGACTCCAACCAACGAGAGACAAGTCTTAAATCTGGTCTTGAATCAGCCTTAAAGGGGCAGCTTCTTCCACCTCCCCCCAGTACGAGCTAACCTGAAGCATGAGTCTCCGACAGCTGTCACTATTTAATTCAAAGTTGCGGTGTGACTGATGGGACTTCCTGCACCTCATGAGACGTGCGACCACAATATTCTTCCCGCTTTATCTCTATACATAATTCATCCTCATTAGCTCTACTGAAATTCAGTTCCAGCTGCAATTACTCCACACACACACACACACACACACACACGCTCCCTCTCTTCCTAATCAAAGGAATAAGATGCGTCTTTCATGGCGAGAATTCGGCGTGTATATGCGCTTGCATCAAGATGATTACACCCAAACGGTATAAATAAATAAATGCATGTTTAATGACTACATGGCTCTTACAGCGAGCAGGAAATAAAACCAGCATTAGTATTCCCTTTTCCGAAGGAAGACATTCCACAATGAATTCATGAGCTGCATGTTTAAAGACATTAACATGGCAGATTTTTGCATGAGAGAAAACGCAAAATGTGTTGATGAGCAGTCGTTCACTGGACCTTAAAAACAGTCAAGTGGAAGGGTTCTTTTCACTATTCTAATGTGATTTCGGTGGCGGCGAAGCATGATGATAAGAGCTCGGTCTTCACTTTAGGCCATAAATGTCAAAACTCAGTCAAACAAATGAGAAAAAAAAACACCCAGCAGAAATAAGATAATTACTGCTAGCGCCCCTATGGGTTTTTTAACAGTAAGTTAGTGCTAAGAAAATGTATAACATCGTTTTTTTGTTTTACAGAAATCATTAAGCCTTATCTGAAGGCGTAGAAGGTCCCAAGGTTTCTCCATGGGTTATGAGAATGAACATAAACTATGGAGAAACCTCGGGACCTTCTACGCTTTCAGATAAGGTTTAAAGATTTCTGTGAACCAAAAAAACAATGTTATACATTGATTATAAGTGGGAGCTTTGGAAGTTTTGATTCCCAACTTTCTGACTTTGACCCTGTCATCATGGTGGAGAAAAGGACATTTCAGTGGTCAGCAAATATTTAGCTCTCTAAATGCAACTCACTTTCAGTAGTCACTGTGTAGGTCAGACATTTGTTTACAAATGCAGGTATTGGTTTCATTATGTATATTTTTATAATAGACAAACTGTTACAAAGATCCTAAATTTTATCTGGTTAGCTTGGTTGGCTAACTAGCTAACTTACCAAACAGGTTCAGTTAGCAAATAGATCTGAGCAACATTACCGTAGGCAAGTTACTAGTACTGCGTTAAGTAATTACATCAGTCTCAACATCTAAACATTTGAGCTGCAAAGTAAAAACAAGAATGTCTTTGTATGTATGCTGACAGCTCTACAGCAAATTTCTTTTAAGTAGTGAAGTGGTTCTTCATTACTGTTGACAAAATGAGAGGCCAAGTACACATGAAGTCAAATGCTGAATTCAAATGTTGACTTGGGAACAACTTGTCGACTTTTAGAGTCGGATTTCCCAGTTGACGGGATGTTTCATTTGGCTCGTAGCATTTGTCATGAGTTACGGCATTAGACAAACTTAACATTCGTTTTTATCAGTCGCTTTATCCGAAATATGAAACAGTGCTGCCAACGTAAGCTTTCCTAAAACATGTTTCCTGACAACAAAGCACTTAAACGCAAAGATTACAGTCTCAGCAAGTGAAGGCAACATGATCAGTGTTTCCAGTACAAAGAGAAGCATGCAACACATCCTACTCAAGGAGGAAGACTACGAATTCAAATGGCACAGTCTGAAGGTAAGAAACTGACCGCAAGCAAGAGACTACAGCCTATGGTGAGCTAGTACCTTGTTGAGAAGTCTGCGAAGCACCTCCATGGCAAGGTCATTAGGCCTCGGTCTGTTCCGAGGGGCCAGGAGAATCTGGCTTGTTGTCAGCTCCTGTGCCTTGTCGTGGTAAGATCCAGCAGGAGTGGACAAGAGTTGCAGCTCAGAGCTAATTACGTGGCTAACGTGGATCATGTAGCGCACAAGGGGACATTTACACCTCTTCCTTTCGCAACACTGCTGCCAGAGTGAACGACCTCAATTAGCCGAGAGAGGCCCCTTGCTGTGTGTGTGTAAGAGAGAATGATTGAATGAGAGAGACTGAGATTGAGAGAGAGAGAGCAAGAGAGAGAGAGAGAGACAGAGAGGATAAGACCGTGCCCATGTGAATGTCAAGTGAGGAATTCTGAGGGATCTACAGTCTTTAAGACCTTTCAGTTGGAGCATGGAGACTTATCACGACAGCTCAAGTATCTCTGTGTCCCTCTCTGCCGTTCTCCCTCCTCCCTCCCCTGTGAAGTGGGAGTGGCCGGGAGCAGTCTTAGTGGATTAAAGCTTTCTGAGCCTTGCTGAAGTGGGGCAAAGAGAAGAGGGCTGTACCAACAACTTCTGTTTGGTTAACTCGGGGAACTTCTGGCTGGCTTCAAATCGCGCTCTCGTTCTCGAAAAATAGGACCATCTCTTGACCCTCGCACATCACAAATCCCCAAGATTCCTCCGCCTGCTTCTTGCCACCACATAAACTTCTGCTCTTAAATTCCATGTTAAATTCAATCACTGACATAAACAAAGTTGTGCAGAGTGGTTTGATGTTTGATGAAACCTATGAGATGTCTTTGCAGTGGTAGTGAAAGGAATCAGAACAAAAACAAAGCCATTTTACTTACTATATGCAACCACCAGTGAACCTAAATGTCTTCTGAGCATTTATATGTAATGTTTATTAATAAATCTGAAAAAAATACACTTTCTTTGAGGTGCTATTTCTCCTTATAACACCCTGCTTGTACCTCTCCAACATGAATAGGTTCAGGCAAGGTTTTCATAACCATTTCTTGTACTAACTTTCTGCAAGGCAGCGTTTATAGGCACTAAACTTCAGACGTCTGGTTCCTTTTACTGCCACTGTGAACAATTCTGACCTGGCAGGTTTCTCTAGAATGGAGCATTTCACATCAAACCACTCAGTATGACACTGTATACATCCTAACCATTCAATTAGACAGGAATTTGGAAAAATCCGTAGAATTCAGCAAACAAGCACACACATGCATTTAGATGGCCAGGAGAGATGCGTCACCACAAAGTTGAGTCAAGAAAAGAAATACAAAACATTCTTCTTTCATGCTGGGCTGAAAGGAAAGTCCAGACTAACGGTTATTCTCCTAAATCTGAAGCAGAAGTCATCCGCAGGTCACGGACAAATCGATTCTTGAATGTCCACGAAATATGGGAACTCATTAGCTAAAGATGAAGCTGAAAAGGGGAGGAAGCACCAGGAGGCCTGTTGACACCAATTAAAAAAGAAAAGTTTTTTCTCTTTCATCCTGAGGCTTCATAACCAAGCGCTTTCATCTGTGGCCAGTACCTGTCCCCTCACTCCTCGAATGAACCTGGGCAACAATTACAGACTCCAAACATATTTCCCCTTTGTATATATATATATATATATATATATATATAGTATATATATACTATATATATGTATATATATATGTGTTGGGGGGGGTGTTTGACTGGAAATTAAGAAAATGACTGGTGATCTCTGATTTTTGACTCTACAAATAAACATATAAACGCAAAATAATTGGTAGGATGTTAGCTTCCATTACTTTTTAGCTATGTTAGCATTGTAGCTTCAGTGCAATACTAAAGAAGCTAACTTCAGACACCAAAAATAACTCGGCTGATCGTCTACATTTAAAGTAAGGGGAAAACTGTTGAACCTTACTTTAATGCAGAGATCAGCCTTTAACAGAGCCGGAGTTTAACACAGTGCCAGACGAGGTTCATTAGACAACTCGACAGAGCTTTAAGGAATGTTAGAGTCGTGCCTCTAGCTTTTGTTCCACGCAGCGTCCCGGTGGGAACAGGCTGTCTGCACGTTAAAGCAGAAAGAAAAGGGAGGTGCGATGAGCAACAGCAAGCTAACAGCAGATGACAGCTTCCACCCCCCCCCAAAGAACTGGACACCTCTATTACTGCTCTATTGTTGTTCTGGCTAAGTGGGGCTGTGGAAAAGACAAAAGACAGGAATTCTTCTTTATCTGTATAACTTCTGTGTTCTTGGCGGGTTTGGCAAACTTGCAGAACTCTCAGAACTCTTCACGTTTATTAGAGCACGTATCTGTTGGGATAGGATGGAGGGAGTGAGAAGGAGTACGGAGAGAGAATGGAGGTAGCGTAGCGTGGTTAGGCCAATGGACCCCTGTCAGCTTCCATTAGCAGAGAATGTGGAATGTGCTCTCTGGACCTCCACTTCCTGTAATGAGCCCCATTGTCTGATAAAGCTGGAGAGGAATCTCTCTAACAAACACCTACAGGCTGATCGCGCCCCCATCAACGGTCTGCAGAGCCAGGGAGTTTAGAACTCCCAGGCATTAGAGTCTTTAGTCTAGAAGCTTTTATCAAAGATTCTACGTTCTTCTGAGGAAAGACTGGTAAGTATAATCTTACCCTTTGGTTTACTGTACTGCTCTCAGAGTCTTGAGCTCTTAAATAGTGTCATAAAAAGGTTTTTTGAGAGAAGAACTACTTGGGAAGAACCACTTTTGGGTACCTTAAGGCTCATGTTTGATGAGATTTGTGAGTGTGAAGAGCCTTTTATAGGTTTAAAGAACCTTCACATATACTCTTCGCGAAAATGGATTCTTAAATTGGATGGATTTCTTAAATGGATTCGAAATTCTTAATTTCTTAAAAGGTTCTTCAAAAAACTATACTCGAAACATTTTCCATCACCAAATATCATCAAATTGTTATTTGAGTTGTCATGGTTCAAGATACACTCTTAGGTCTTTGCACATTGGCATAGAAGAACCATTTTGGTTCCCTGAAGAACCTTTCAATGCATGGTTCTTTGGGAAAAACTATTTTTGCAAATGAGGTGTGTGATGGTGAAGAACTATTTTAAAGTTAAGAGAACCTCCACGTAAGGTAAATGTTCCAGAAAGAACCATTTCTTTTTTATCTTGTGAAGATTCTTTGAACCTTTAAAAGGTTCATTACATGGTTCTTCAGGGAAGCAAGGATTCTTTCTCAAAAAAACCCTCTGTGGAACCTTAAATATAACCACTGCCTTTATTACACCAATTTAAGGGTTCATCCCAAGAACCTTTACATTATTTGGAGATTCTTAAAACTTTAAAAAGGTTCTTCATTCTCACACAACACATTTACAGAAAGGTTCTTTAGGAGACCAAAAAGTGGTTCTTCTTTCATGGAAAGAACGCTTTTTAGCACTGTTATACTAAATAATGTGGGTCTTTGTTGCCTAAGTCTACATATTGGGTTCTCAGTTGGGTTCATCCAGCACAGTACTAGCTAATTTGAGAGAACATGAGCAGTAGTTGTTTGGGATTTCATTAATTTGGGATATCATTAATTAAGTATATAAATGAATCAAAAAAAGCAAATATAAACTACAGTTTTGAAGAAAATGGACACTTTCCGTAAACTGACCCCTACATCAGTATAGAAAAGAGAGAGCAATCTGAGAAAGCTGCATTAGCGCCAGTCCAACTGGTTGTGCTAATCTGTCACGGCTGCTCGCATTAGGGAGCTGTCAGAGGACATCAGTAATCCCACCACATGACCTAAGACGGTTAACACGATGCCAGATCACTGACCTGAGACCAGTTTTGTTATTGCTCTAGTAGTGGTTGGAACACTAGTAGGTAAAAATCAAATGTGTACAATTTTCCCTTTTCCTCAAATGTATTAGACCAGCCAAGATGTGTTTGGTGTCTGAAGTTTGCTTCTTTAGTTTGTGGCACTAGGAGGCTAATGTAGCAAGCAGAGGTGGGTAGCGTAGCCTAAATCCATGTTCAACTTGGGTAATGACCCAAGAGAACCTTCCCAAGAAAACTGAAGAACAAAAACCTATGTAAGTACTGAATAACGTATAAAACTGCAGTGGAATTTCCATCTTTCAGCACAGAAACTGAAGATTGTACGGCCCTATGCTTCTCTTTTTGGGGATTATTTTAGTCCAAAGTAAAATCCTAAAAGCTCCCAGATCAGAGATGTGACCGATCACAAAGCAATACAAATGTTGTCACCAACAAAATAATGAAAATAAAAACAAAAAAGGAAGTAGTGATTGAATATGAATGGCAAACACATACTGACTAATAAACTTAAGTAGAAGTAAAAGTATTACAATTTGGAAATACTGAATGAATGTAACTAGCTACTACCCATCAATGCTAATAAGTAAAGGTAGCTTATACCCCACCAGTTAGCACTGTGCAATTTCATGAAACGGTTATGAATATGCTGCCTGATGCCTGAGACATTATGCAATAGTTTTGAGAAGAGCTTGGCCTAAAATATATTTTTAATAACACATTCATGGTGGACATCATTGTGAGGCCAAATAGAAAACTTATTTTACCACCATCAACATTACATATAAAAACTCAGCAGACCTGTAGATTTACTGGTCTTTTTGGATAGTAAATAAAATGGCTATATTTGTGTTGTAGACAAAGCGAACTCTGGTTTCTATCACCACCACTATAAAGAAATCAGTCGGTATGTTTCTCTACAACGAAGCATTTCACATCAAACCACTCTCAATGACTTTATATACATCACACCCTCTGAATTATGCAGGAATGTTCCCCTTTAGGTTCATGATATACAGCAGGGAAGTATGTCCTAGATCCTTTTAGGTCATTTGTAACCACAGAATGAGGTCCCCTACTTCCATTTTAATCAATACTGCATTTGAAACATACTCACAAAGCAGAGGGACGTGTTCAAATGTAATTAGAAAGCACAGTGTGTGCAGATCTTTCTGCACGGGACCGCTGGCCCGAGGAAAGCTCCAGACTTAACCAGCCGGAAAGGGGCACCAGCCACTCTAAACCATTT